GAGTTGAAAATCCGGATCTCATTTTTGATGCTGAGTGCTGTTGACCTCCACACAGACTTGACGTGAGTAGTGAAAGCTTGTCTTGCTTTTCCGATTCTTGCTTTGATATCCTCGTCAGTTCCGTCCGCCTGTAGTTGAAACGATGCTTCCCAGGTAGTTAAGAGAGGTTGTTTCTTTCAGGTTCCTCCCATTTATGCTGATCGTTGTCTGTTGTTGTTGTTGTTCTTGTCCAGGAATCTTCATTACCTCTGTCTTCTCTGTATTCACCTGAAGTCCTATCTTTGATGCTTCTTCTGCCAACTTGTTGCATATCTTCCAGTTTGTGGGAAATCAGACATATATCATCGGAAGATGCTTTTGCAGCAATTAATTAATTCTGACTGGTGAATGTTTGTCAAAGATAGCGAAATCTGACTGGTCAATGTATTTGATCAAGAAACAGTCTGTAATTAAACAGTTTGAATTCTGATCGCTAGATTACCGAGTTGGACCATTGTCGTACATAACAATTACAAAAGATATAATAAATGTCAGTTTAACCTTTCAGTTCGCATTATTTTCATTTGATAAGGTGACAACAACGACACCAAAACACTGCTAATCAATACCTATAGACAGAATATTTATTGTTAAGGTTTTTCAGCTAAACTGAATATTGACAAGATTTGACAAATATTTTCTACACAGAAAGAATCCTCCAACTCCTGTAAAGAATACATTAGATATTATTTCAGGGAGCCTTGTTCATATACTACTTTATGAAGAAAAAGATAGATTGTTTTATCAACTTTTTATCAGATATTTCGATCTGACTGACTTTAACAATCATGTTTTTCATCGAAATTTCGTATAACCTTCCTTGAAGTAAATAATATACAAATAACGGAATGATATAAGAATGTCGGTAAGTTGATGGTTCAGTGGCAGAATGCCCGTCAACCACCTACGCCATCCGCGGTTCGATTTCTAGCCGATGAACTTCTAAAGCTCTCTCAACCGATATTAAGCCCAGTAAAGAGGTGACATTGGTCGTGGGGCTAGCAACTTCACATCGTAAAGAAAAAGTCAACGCTACTGATACTTCAAAGTTCAAGCTTAAAGCGTGTGTTCCACCGAAAATAATTAAAAAATTCCAGCAGTGCGACAAAACCAAAAGTATATAGATCACTGGAAATTCAAGGAGAACTAGAAATCTGTTCCTTTCTAGCTTTAAGCAATGCATTTGAAAGCACTCACAACTCTCATCAACAGCGGCAGATATGCTGACTCCATTATTGCGAAAGGTCTCGAAGGAGGGAAAGGTGCCTACTGACTGGAGGAAAGGTTACCTCGTGAAACTATCAAAGAAGGGCGACTTAGGTCTCTGCAAGAACTGGCGAGGAATCATGCTCCTGTCAACGCCAAGTAAAATCCTGAGTCGCATCATCCTGGAGAGAATAAAGGACGCACTGGATACAGAATCCCGACCAGAACAAGCTGGATTCAGGAAAAGCAAATCATGTTCTGACCAAATTGCAACTCTACGCATCATCATCACAGAACAAAGCATGGAATGGCAATCAAGCCTCTACCTCAACTTCATAGACTTTGAGAAGTCCTTCGACAGCGTTGACCGCGAAGTAATTTGGAAACTACTCGAGTACTACGGCGTACCCCAAATATTCATCAACCTTATTCAACAGCTGTACGACAACGGCACATGCCCAGTGATCCACAACGGAAAACTCAGTGAGGCGTTTAAAGTAAACACAGGAGTCAGACAAGGGTGCTTATTATCACCAATGATATTCCTAACTGTGGTGGACTGGATTATGCGCCAGACAGTGGGAAACGAGAAGACAGGGATATCCTGGACCGACATGAAGAACCTAGAAGACCTGGATGTCGCGCGTGGATGATTTATGTTTGATGTCACACAAAATCGAAGACTTACAAGCGAAAACCGACAAACTGGTGGAAGAAGCAGCAAAGACAGGACTGCACGTGAACATGGACAAGACGGAAGTTAGGAAAATAGCCAACCAACAACAACAACAGCAGCAACATCCAGCGCCAATCACTATCAACGGGAAGGATTTGAAAGAGGTTACTTCTTTCACTTATCTAGGTAGCATTGTCTCAACTACAGGAGGAATGGACGAAGATATTAAATCGAGAATCGGAAAGGCGAGAAACACGTTCATCAACCTGAAACCAATCTGGAAATCTTCGTCACTCCTCAACATCAACAACAAAATTCGGATTTTCAATACAAACGTCAAGTCACTTCTTCTATACGGATCAGAAACTTGGCGGGTGACAAAAAATATTTCCAACAGCCTGTTGCAGACCTTTATCAAAAGCTGTCTTCGTTCTATACTGAAGATCAGATGGCCGCGGAAAGAATCACCAACAAGAAACTATGGGAACAAACGAAACAAGAACCAATCGCTCAACAAATATGCAGGAGAAAGTGGAGATGGATTGGACACCCGCTGGGTGACATTGCCAGTCAGGCCCTCGAGGGGAACCCGAAAGGGAAGCGACGAGTGGGACGTCAGTGCAAAGGTGACATGGAGGAGATCGTTTGAAGAGGAGCTGAAACAGTATGAACTAACATGGATGCAGGTGAAAAGTACAGGAGAAGACAGAAGCAAGTGGAGGCGTGCAGTTGAAGCCCTATGTTCCACCAGGAACCCAAGGGAACAATAATATTAATAACTCTCATCAACTCTGGACAATTATTTGGACTAAATAAATCAATGCTTAAACGATGAATAAACTTTCTACTAGTGTGGTGTGTGCTACTGACGATATATTGTATCTGATGTCTTTTACAAAAATCTTCAGTAGCACATCGATGGATTAAGCTGACAAAAGAAGGAACGAAAGATCTTCGATAAATAATATAGAAAGCATGAAAAGAAGACAGAAGAATAAGAAAACGAAAAGCATGTGCATATAGAGATTTCTATTTAAAGCTGCTGTATACCGCCATAACTGTACATCATTTTACCAAAAATAAACAATTCTGCTATCAAATACTACTTTTGTTCTGCCATTACACTAGTACAGCACAAATCGATTACAATTAATCGAACGTTTTATAAAGTGCCTATTCACTACTCAAGCATGCTGATCGGTATAGAGAAAAGCCACCTTTGTAAACACATTGCTTAGTGCAAAACTGTCATCAAAGTATTGGCTTGGTGAACTGAAGCGACACTAGTACAAGAATGTTTTAAGAGTATGTGACCAGTGCATTTCAAAATTAGTAGAAACTCATACGTGTCCATCAATGACCAAAGAGAGATAAAAAATGAGCCAATTCAGCAGATTCCAAAAGAAACACGCTGTTTTCACTTGTCTCACCTATTACGACTGTGTTTTCTACACACCTAAAGAGACGCGAATCACAAACTGTTAAGACTACTATTTTATTAAGCCAGTCGCTCCATGATTTCATTCATAGAAACTTGAGTTTAATATGTGAGGTTATGTGAAAGCAAACAAAAGCCTTTATAGAAAGCGAAGTGAAATTCACACGTAAGTATCCAAGATTTAGCCCAAAGTTTGCTAAAAGCAAAAGTAATTTCACTACTGACCATGAACTGACTTCAGTTTAAGAAACACTAGAAACTGAACAGCCGTTTTATCCTTCTCGCGGGGATTCTTTACCAGTACGCGCCTATAACCCTACCAGGGGTTGAACACAAGACCTTCATACTGTAAGTCGAGCTCATATACCATCCGGTCATTGGATGCAATCCAAAGGCCTATCAACTCTGAATTCTGTCATTTCGCGATATACATAGCGCGGCCGCCAGCCATTGTTACTGGCGAGTATTTATCCTCATACCAGACTTGGCGGAAGCTGCCAGTTACGACTTCCTACTAGAAGTTGAGGCAGCTTTATTCTGTAGCCAGTCACTAGTTGTAAAATTCTGTCAGTGAATCATCTGAGAGATGGTATGATATGAGAGACTACTCTAAATCATTATATAACCTTTGTCTGCCTCATCCTTCTTATCAAACTAGTCATTTCTTTCTTGAAGTCTTATGTTAGTGAAATGGTGAAAGTGACTTCAAAACTGACTCTACATGATCGACTAGCTTCCTTTAACGTCTCAAACACAGACTTCTATGATTTTCGTAAAAGAATGTAGCTGTAATAAACAAAGAGAACGCATCAGGTTGATGTGATACAGTCTATTGCATCACTTCTTTATTCTGATTTTTCCCAAAGTCGAATCAAAGCTAATTAGATGAACATAGTAGTCGAATGTGAGATATTTTCACATATTTACCGATCGAGGATGTGAGCATGCTTAATGCTACTAATACTGGATCCACAATTTACGGAAAGTAGGAGTCTTTATACGTGATGATGTGCTGATACAGGATTGCCTAGTCGATGCTGTCGAAGAATCGCTCATAGATGAAAGAATGACACAGCTTTCCGTAGAACCGATAACATATCCCTGTCGTTTCACTACCTTGTGAAATCTCAGACAAGCTTATTTCTAATAAAACTGTTAGAACAAATACAAACTAGCTGCAATCTTCCCTTGGTAGAATGCATGCCAGCCACACACATATGGTCCGAGTTCGTTTCCCGGTCAACGCACTCCTACAATTCGCTCAGTTCATTGGGAGTAAGCCTGACAAAGAAGGAAGGTTGAGCTTGAAGCTGGTAACCCCACCCAGTAAAAACTAAACACCACTGCTACTGAAACTTCAAAGAAACTCCATCATGAAGCCACATGTTCCACTCATAACAAAATGGGATGATAATGAAACCATCTTCTCTACAATTACAAGGCAGAATGAGGTAGATGCGAACACTTTTCATTCAACAATCGACTTCATCGAAAAATGATTATTCAGGAGTCTAGCACAACAAAAACAACCGGAGTACAATGTGTATGAAAGACTAACACTGAGGAGTCAACCGGTATATTGCATTTGCATATCTCAATGAATTCGTGCAGAACTAAGCGGTGATGAAAAGAAATACTGTTATTTTCTTTCTTTTTCTTTTCTCTTGATCGCTCACTCGGCAATTTTTCTAAATGCTTAGATGTAAAAAAAAAAGAAATAAATAAATAAACACAATAAAATATAATCATCATTATACAAAACATTGTTCAATGAAAAAGAAACAAACATACAAACATACAAACAAAATGTAACTGATATACAAATGATTATCAATATATGTATAAAAAAAATCTGTAATGCATACACACATACACATACGGACGCACGGATGCGCGCACGCACGCACACACATACATACACACCGACAGTAAGGTATGCATAAATACCCTTATCAACACACAAAGAACTCAAGATAAGAATAATAATATTAATGGGCATAAATATTAGATAGAAAGGAAATTATGCAACAGAATTATCAACAGAACAGCCTCTCGTCCCACCCTACCACCCCGCCCTCTGTGATGAAGACCTCAAGAACATCATTATCATCATCAACATCACACTTTTGAAAAGTTAGAAGGGAAGAAATTAAAACAAATGAATGAATATGATGGAAATAATTGAACATATTGATTAGACGAAGAAATTCAAATATGTATGTATATAAGTGAATAAAAAAATTCAAAATAATTTGTAGTGTTTTTTATGCTTTCTTCGAACAGTTAAACATGCTCTAGTAGCTAGTTCAAATACTTGACGAACATTTTCTTTTGTTTTCGCTGAACATTCAATCTCTTTGTAGGCGTCTAATTCAAACAACAACAAAAACAACAAAGACAAAAATTAAGTCTGTAGGAGATAAATGAAAGAGATTATAAATAATTTCATTTGTAGATTATCTGATATTTTCACTAATCATTTTCTTTTCACATACTTCTTACTTCAGGCCTAATCAAAAACAGTGATGACATATTAGGGTTGTGTTCCGAGACAGCTGTAAGCCTCCAGTAGTCGTGATGCTGGTGCTGTTTATGGGGGATGGTTACAAGCACCATATCCCTCCTTTTCATGCTAACTATCGGCCATTAAGTGTTGGTTTTCAGAAGTTTTATTGGTTACAGACTTCACAGTGATCTGACACTAGTTAGAAAGCCGCTGGACAGCTGTGTTATCCCAGCTTTGGACTCTTTATCAGCACGCCCCAGCTGGAGGTTGGACCCAGGACCTCCCTTTTGCAAGACAAGTTCGTATACTACTCAGCCACTGGGACCCGATTCAGTTGTCCATTATTACCAAATTATACCAGCTCGTGGTTTTGGCATGACCACCATTGAATGTCTTCACGCTAGAACTGGTGGACCCCACTGGTCACGACTTCTGACTAGAACTCCAGGTAACTTTGTCCTGTAGCTAGTCACTACCGAGCATCAGATTTATTCTCAACAGTTAATCTGTCGGGCTTCGGTTTGTTTCCAGTTTTATCAAGGATTGACATTAGTTAGAGAACCATGGAAAACCAGGGAGTACTGGATAGCTGCTTTATCCCAGTTTGAAACTCACCAAATTCTAAACCCAGGACCTTACGGTTACAAGGATAGCTCATAAACCTATGAGCTATTGGGACCCGACTCAATGGCCCATGAATTCCAACTTCTATCTAGTGAACTGGGTGAGGTTTAGGAGTCAGTCGGTAGGGAGTCGAACTCATAAACCTCCTGTGTGCTTGATAAGCATTCTGTCATTAAACTTCCGAAGCCATGTCACTCATGGATAGCCATCATCATTTATTCACTACTGTGATTTGCTTTCCATTTTAACAAATCATCGGGGTGCGAATTCTGATCACGCATAGCAACATATTCACTACTATTTTTATTTGTGCTCTTCCATTTGTCATAAAACAGCCTCTCAGTTGGTGTCTGTCACAGCTCCTTTAATTCACAAAAATCGCTATAAATCCCTTTAAGTCACATTTACTAACATAACAATATAATGAATGATATCAAGTGTGGGTGGGATGAATCAATCATCCATTGGTCTATTTTAATCATAATCATCACATGGAGTAGAGTAATAATTGTCATTTGTTTGAAATCACAGAAATCCATAAGACTATCTTAATTTGCTAATCACAATATGCCTATTATCTCTTAACGATAAGAAGAAAAAAGAAAAAAGAACCACCACATACGCTGCATTATTTATCATGACTTAATTAAGTGGTTGGATAATCGATCACTTTTATCGATCGGTTGCAAAAAAAACTAGCCAATCATATGATGGTTAATTATTACTAATCTCACACAATACAATATAATGAAATAGAAATAAACATTGTTTTTGGTGAAGAGGACAAGGTGCATAATAAATTGTAAAAATTATAATTTTTCTATTGCAATACAAGTTATAAAATTACAAAAGTGACACATATTTTCGTTGTCTGTGGTTAAGTTGAATTATGCGACTATAGATTTTCTCATTTGTAGGATGAAATCTTCTTGACAGACTGTCATCGTCGATAAATGAGGCTTAAAATAGTAAAGACTGGTATCATACATAACTTCTCTAGTTATTGGCATCTTCATTTCCTTAAAATTAGTTCTATTCTTGACTGATTACCTTTCATAAAACTTCGTTATCGATGCTCGTCTAATGATTAACATTACTACAGGTTGATTAGGCTACGATTTCGCATATGTGGAGCATTCAAATATGTTGGTGTAAGCAAGCCTGCACAATTCAAAAACGTAAATATATAAATTTCATTCTTAATTTTGTATTAAACTATAATTCACTAAAATAGGCTGTGCAGCGGTGTCACAGAGGTAGAATGCTCGCCAACCACCCATGTGGTCTGGGGTTCGATCCCCGGCTGACGAACTCCTTCATCTCGCTAAGCCACTAGTAAGACTGGTAAGGAGAGGAGGTTGGGCATTTGGTTAGCAACTCCATCCTGTAAAAATAAACACCGCTGCTACCGAAACTTCAAATCTCTAGCTTGAAGCCTTATGTTCCACTGGTAACACAAAGGAATAAAAAAAGGGAAAAAACAGACGTGAAGTCTTGGTGTTAGGTAGCTGAAGGCTGTGAACCTAGGTTTCGTCCTTGTTGACACTCGTCAGCAAGGTGTATCCACAACCTCAAAAGAAGTGATGTCTCCTCGATAGATTCAAATCTGTGTCACCCAGAGATACAGTCAGAGATGCTAGCACTGATCTATTCAAGTCCACGGTTGACCTCCTATAGGTGTTTAATGGTTACCTTTAACATCTTGAAGTATGATAAAAAAACTCCCATGTTTGTAGTTACCCAAATAACGAAGAAATGACGGCATTATTTTAACTGATTGAAAATTAAAAGCGCAAATAATACCTTCGACGTTTAGCTCCTAGGATATGTTTATCTTTTCCTTCTGTTCTAATGACTACAATGTTAAAGCCTAAGAATTTTTTCCGATGGTTTAAACTTATGACCACCAGTGTTGCTTATTGTAGAATCAGTTGCATATGACTGAGTTAGTAAGGTAGGCTTGAAATCTTTTGTAAAAGTGATGTGTGACTTCGTATAGTTACATACTTGCATGGATTGTAGAGAATAGAAGCTGTTAGGTTACATGAAGCAACACTGACTTTCATTATAACTAAGGACAGTCGGGTAGTTGACCACCAAGAAACCATAAACGAATACCTATATGTACCATTAATATTGTGATTTTATGTAACACTTTACCTTGGGTTCCAAACACTGAAGTAATGTTATCTCTCAGCTGTGAAAAAGACCTATAATAGTAAAAACAACTCTGTCTCTGGAAATTTACCTAGAAAACAAAAGTAGAATATCCCATTGGCAAATTTTCTTATTTTTGGCATTTAATGTTTGGTTTGCTTATCAGCCAACACATGTCGCCCTATTTGTTAATCCCTGTTTATGCCTATCAAAAATACTCCAAAAACAAGACACTTTCAATTATAAGACTGGTAATAAAATGCTAAACATATCATGTTTGATTAGAGGTAATGCATTTCAAAACAAGTGGGTGGTATATGGTGATGACCTAGAATAGGTGTTACTTAATGCCTGAACACACCACGACAACAAAGCAGGGGGGAGTAATGCTATAGAAAGCAAGTCATGAAGCTGAATGAACATATTGCTGTGATTAAGAGCAATAAATTGTACTTTAAATGTTATCAGTAGACAGGACTGAATCATTGCTTTTATCTTGATTTCCTTACTTTATTCCTTTACATTCTGAGTGGAACACGTGGCTCCATGCTTGAGTACTGAAGTTCCAGTAGCAGTGGTCTTTTTTATACGGCGTGGGGCTGCTACTCTCCTACCCAATCTTCCCTTCTTGCCAGACTTACTACCACCTAAGCGAGGTTTAGGAGTGTGTCCGCTGAGGATTGAACCTCGGGAAACATGTGTGGTTGGCAAGCATTCTACCACTGCACCAATGACACTCACTGAACCGCCGTGCGTTTTATCAAATGAATTTACCTAATATGTAATTATCTTCCATCACAGTGCCCTTCTTTTACATCAATCACATAAGAAAACACCTGGCCGCATCCGCTGAACAACTAACATGATAGATTCTAATTAAATGAAATTATTTAAACTATCAGGAATTGGCTGACATTGGATAAAACAAAATGAAGAAGAAATAAACAGTCCATTTAGAAAAAAAAGCAACTCACTGATATAGTTAGCAACCGCTCTAGCCTCTTCAGCAGTGACCGGATGTTGACCTATTCGTGCAAGTTCACTGATAACCTTATCATCATGTCTGAGGTCACTTTTATTGCCAACTAGTACAATTGGAACATCTGGACAAAAGTGTTTAACTTCAGGTATCCATTTCTCTTTAATATTAGCTAAACTGTCGGGACTGTTCATAAACAAACCAAAAGAATTCAAATAAATAGAATGAAAGCTAACTACCAAGTTATAAATACAAACATAACTGAAAGTGACACTGTCTGACATACCCATCTGTCAGCAGACTATTATCGGTTTAATAGGTGGTGATTAAAAGTGAGATGGAAACCTGGAGATTCGAACCAATGACCACGGAATTATCAGTCTAGCAATTTTCCAGCTGAATTATGAGATCCTGCCACGATCTAGGTTTTTATTTCCTCCTCAATCATAATCGCTAGCTACGTCAGTAACAGTCCACCAACCAAGACCATTTCAGATAATCTCACCATCGTTTAGTAACCTACTTCTCTCTTTCTAACTAACTATGATTACGGCTGACAGTAGAAGGCTGTTTTGAGGCCGTCAGTGTATGATAAACAGACGCTCACACATCATTCATTAAAGTGATATTCGTACATTACAAGTAGGTTGTGTAGTTTTTCTGGTAGAGCGCAGAGCTAGCAATTTGAAGCTCACTCCTTGAAATCCTTCAGTGTGAAGTTAGCAGTAGAGATTATCCCTCAAAGGACGACGAAATCTTTATAATCAAACCATCCAGTTGCAGAGAACACAACCACACAAAGATCATCCACCTGAGCCACAAAAATCTTCCCTGTTGTTCCATAATTCTTCTATAGACAGTACAGGACATTGAAGTAGGTGGTGGCTCAAAACAGCCTAGCTATCTTAATCAGTATAGATCTGTAACAGTTTAGACTAACTTATGATTTTTGTCTAATGGGCCTTCACACATTAGATAATTATTTTAAAAGTCACCAAAATTGGTCACATTATTATCTCATTTCAAGTGAATCAATTAAAGAATCTGAATTACTTAATTAGAAATTAAAAGTCATAACACCGCTTTCTGGTTTAATCACTTGAAAATGGTTGATAAACATCCAAAGAGTTAGATCATTATTATTACTGTTTCCTTTAATTCCTACAGGAACATAGGGCTTCAGCCGTGTGTCTTCATTGCGTTCGCTTCTCTGCTAGAGTCTTCACCTGGCTCCATGTCTGCCCACACGTTTTCATCTCCTCTTCACATCACCTCCTCCAAGTCACCCTTAAACTGACGACCAACTCACCGCTTCCCTTTCGGGTTCCACTCGAGCAATGGCTTGTCTAGTGATGTCACTTGATGGTTTGTTTCCTCAGAGTATGACCAGCCAATCCATCTCCATTTCTTCCTGCCTATTTGTTTCCCAATCGGTTCCTGCTGGGTTGGTTCGCTCATTGCCAGAGATCTCTGTTGCTGATCTTTTCTGGTCGGCCATCTGATCTCGAGTATTGAGCGAAGACAACTGTTAATGGGGGTCTGTAGTCTGTTTGAGATGCTCTTTATGACGCACAGTGCAAGTCTCTGATCCGTATAGTAGCACTGACTTTACATTACAGTTGAAAATCCGGATCTTATTTTTGATGCTGAGTGCTGTTGACCTCTTCACACAGACTTGAGAGTAGTGAAAGCTTGTCTTGCTTTTCCGATCCTTGCTTTGATATCCTCGTCAGTTCCACTGGCCTGTAGTTGAAACGATGCTTCTTAGGTGGGTATGTAAAAGAGGTTGTTTCTTTCAGGTTCCTTCCATTTATGCTGATCGTTGTCTGTTGTTGTTGTTCTTATCCAGGAATCTTCATTACCCCTGTTTTCTCTACGTTTACTTGGAGTTCTATCTTTGATGCTTACTCTTCTGCTAACTTGTTGCTTTTCGCTTGCATATCTTCCAGTTTGTGGGAAGTCAGACATATATCATCGGCGAAGTCCAGATCATAGGCAGAACAAAATGAACTCAGTGACTTGAACAGAAAACTAACTTTGAAGGACTACTTTGCCTACTCATTCAATTTCTATAAATATCTGCTATGGATTCAACCATTTAATTTACCTTATGATTATAAGAATAGACTAATTTGAAATGGAAGACGCAAAAAAGATTAAGAAAGTTTACTATGGACATCATTACCTGTCTATTGAATAACACATTAATATTACATCTGTGTCTGGATAGGATAATGGACGGAGACGGTCATAATCTTCTTGGCCAGCTGTATCCCATAGGGCTAATTCAATTTGTTTATTATCAATTTCAATATCAGCGACATAATTTTCAAACACTGTTGGGACATAAACTTCTGGGAATTGATCTTTGCTGAATACAATTAGTAGACAGGTTTTTCCGCATGCACCATCGCCAACAATAACGAGTTTCTTTCGAATCCCAGTAGTTACCTAGAAAGAAAACAAACATCAACGTGAAGCACTGTAAACTGTGATGAGTAAAATCAATGCTGATAAATACAAAACAATTGCAGCAGTTTTCAAATGTTAGTTTTTTAGGAATTTGACTGGTTTCAAGTATGATCACAAAGTGATGGCAGATGGAGAACCATTTAAAACCATGGGCTACTAGACAGCTATTTCGTCCTAGTTTGGGACTCTTCGGCAATATACACCGATCATTTCACCAAAGACTGAACCCAGGACCTTCAGATCACAAGGCGAGCTCATTGAGCTGGCTGGATTCCAACCCAGGGTTTGAATAGTCTAGTGGCTGTCTCTAAACGGGACAACCATGGCCACCATCTATGACACAGCATGATGGTGGAACGGTCTAATAGGAACGGACATTTCTCATGAAAACAGCTAACAGCAAGCAAACAAAATCATATTCCAAAGTACTATCTATATATATGTATATATATATAGAGAGAGAGAAAGATAGACAGACAGAGATAGTTGAAGGTAGTCAGAAGGAAGCTCGGAAGCTAGGTTTCATACCTGTTGGTACTAGTCAGAATGGAGTGTTCGAAACCTCGAAAATTTGAACCTAAGTCATCCTGTGTTGCAGTCAAAAACGTTACCCCTAGGCTATTCATGTCAACGACTGACTACCTGTAGGTATGCAATAGATACAGTGACTGATCGCTATGAAGTACCCAGTGTTATGTGTCTTTAGTCTTTAGTATTGGTTCTGCATGAATTCTGTCAGTGATTACGCAGCGCAGTCATCACTGAAAACTTTTTAAATGTTTGTTAGATGGTTGGAGACGACTGACAGGAAACCCTAGACAACGGTTTAGTGCTTATCGGCATATTTTTCTTTATAGTAGTAGAGCTGTTTAGAAGCATTTTTCGCCTGGAATTAACATCGTTGTATTCTAACCATTTATCTGTTATAGTTCATTTACTAACAACCAACCATAAACTAATTAGTTATTCAAGTACTTTCAGTGTATTGTAAACCTAAGAGTTTGTGGACAAGGCTTTCTAAGCAAATCTAAGTAAGCATCATATTCACTATTGTATCTCGAGAAACACGTGAAGTTAGTAATGAGCAACAGAACAGTAACAGTGTAAGTTGTGAATATCCCCGTATCATGTCAGCACCGTCAGTTTATTGATCTGACTACATGATGGCAAATTAGATTTTTCAGAAGAAAATTTGAGTTCCCTAGTGAAAATAACTACAATCAGTAAGGAAAGTAAGAACTTGTTTTGTTTAAATAAACTGATTCCTGGGTTTATAAGTAATATTTGATTTTAAGATAAGCATAAAAATGGTCGGTAACTAAGTTAATCCATCTGTCACGATATATATTTATGGGTTTAATAATGAAAAACTGAAAAATTCATGGAATATATATATATTTCTATTCCTTTACGTTCCTAGTGGAACATAGGGCTTCAAGCTGGAGGCTTGAAGTTTCTGTAGCAGTGGTGATCGTTTTTACAGGATGGGGTTGCTAGCCTCATGCTCAACCTTCTCTACTTACCAGTCTTACTACTGACTTAGCGAGGTGAAGGAGTTCTTCAGTCGGGGATCGAACCCCAGACTATCTGCGTGGTCGGCGAGCATTCTACCTCTGTGCCACCGACGCACCTGAATAGATACATTGGATGCATATTTTTGAGAATTTCATGCTCATATATATAATAATTTCCACGCTTATGGATTTTGTAATTTATAAACGTTGTACAAACTTAGGCTTTTATATTTAGTCGTGTAAATATCTTAAAGTCAAGCATTTTGCTCGCCCTACTATTATTATTTTTCTCTTGGGTTCCGAGTGAAACATAGGGCTTCAAGGACACATCTGCACTTCCCTCTATTTTCTGCCATCCTCTTCAAATGGGTCCATGAGTGCCCATAATCTCTTGTCTCCTTCTTACGCGATCTCTTCCATGTCACTCTTGCACCGACGACGCACTCGTCGCTTCCCATTCGGATTCAACACGAGCAATAGCCTGCATTGAGCGCGATGCCATTCAACGGTTTCCTCAATGTATGCCCGATCCACCTCCATTTTCTCCTACATATTTTTTGAGTGATGGGCTCTTGGTTGGTTTGCCGCCACAGTTTCTTTTTACTAATTCTTTCTGGCCATTTGATCTTCAGTATTAAGCGACTCGCTCTACTGTATTATTAAAATCCATTTAGCATGGACAGTTTTTTGATGTATCTGACCATGAAAGTTACTCATTACCCAGTTGCTTAGACTGAAGTAGGTGGAGAGGAAATCAAACCCAAGACCCATCGTTTCCACTTACAAATCATAAACAGAAGCTCAAGAATCCATGAATTTGTAAATCACGGACTAAGAAGTACTATTTCTTTAGAGTAGAAATATCCTTTACAGTTTTATAAAAATTCGAATGGTGAGAACTGCGGATTATCTTTACGAAACCTTTAGTCTTTTAACCTCTCCTACCAAACTAACTTAATGGTACTCACTTGATATAAATACCATAAAGGCTTTATGGCAATCGTCAGAAATGCAAACGCGGTATATACATTTTTGTAGAACTCAAGCTTTACGTATAATCTTTAATTTTTCTTAATGGACTGGATAGATGATTCCGATACTGGATACATAAGGAAAACTTTAAAATTTAATGATTACGACTGAACAGTGTCATTTGGAGTGTGAATGATAATTACTAATTTCATTAATCTCTTCTTTACTGTTCAGAGGTTTGGTGTGTCACCGAAAGCGTTTCCAACTTGCTTCAGACTTTTATCAACAGCTATCTTCTCTGGTTTCATAATGAAGACCCGAAAAGATTAACAACAAAAAACTCTAGCAGGCAACGAACCAACTAGGGACCTATCACCCAACAAATTTGCTGAAGAAAATGGAGACGAATCAGACACACTCTAAAGAGACCATTGAGTGACACTGCGCACCAGGATATCGCTCGAGTGGAACCGGAATAGGAAGCGATAAGTTGAGCTTGGCTCCAAGAGTAACATGGAGAATATCATGTGAGGGGGGAGATGAGAGCCTATGGGCGGTCATGGAAACAGCTAAAAGAGTCCATAGTGAACAGGATGAAATGGCGACGTGCTGTTGAAGACCTAGTTCCAAATAGGAACCTATGATAGTAATAATAATAATAATACTTTTATTCAAGTAGAGGCAAGTGCTTGCTTGCAACTACGACACTTCTGTACCGTTTTACTTTGTCTAATGAGTCTAAAAACATCATTTTAGAATTAACCGTTAGCTGCTGCCGAACACACAATATAACAATTCACCAAACATATAAATGAGATAATGTTGATAAGCAAAACTAAAAACCAACTGGTGTGATCGATTTACTTGCACGCATCTCCTAGAAGACGTATCAAATGATGTACAGAGTTTTTATACTTCTCAGAGTTTTCTCATATTCTGCTGTTAAAAGAATTATTGCGCTACCCAGTGTTTGCATGTAAGTTAGATAATCTGTCTTTACTCACTTAGCAGACAGACAATGCGTCTCGTCTATCCGTTAACTCCACATTTAAAAATGACTATTCAGATCAATGAGCCGCACCTTCAGGATATCGTAGAATTAACTAGTAACAGGTTATTTGATGGTAGATATTTAAACAGCTTATCATAAATTAAAAGTCTCCAATTTACTTCAATAATCGTTATGTTTTAATTTTTATTTATTATTTTGATTACAGCTTGATGCCACACCGTATTTTCAGTACAAGTATGGCATTTTCAGCATAGATATCGGTAGCCCAAATTTACAGGCCGACCATAGATATCGGGTGTGCGTCGGCAGGGGATCGAACTCCGGACCATGTGCATGATCGGCGAGAGTACTAACCACTGTGCCTCCGCCGCACCTTATTCTAAGACTCTTACTAGCTGTTCACGTGATAAGAATGAAACAGAAGCTCAAAGATATGCAATCCAGACAGAAAATGTGTAAATGCTAAGAGTTTTAATTATGGAGAGAAATTTAATCAGATTTGCATCATAATAACAGAGTTTCGTATTCACCCTAATATTTGACAGAACCATATATATGCTAATAATCAGATTATCACCACCCTAAGAAACTCCTTGAAGGACTATATCGTCCGCATATTCTAAGTCAACTAGATGATTCCCTGGTAGCAAGTCAATCCCTGAGTCGCTGAAGTGTGTCAGGGTTAAGTCCATTAGTACATTTATGATGAAGTTGAATAGGAATGGGGATAATGGGCATCCTTGACGGACGCCACTAGTCGTCACTACTGCAGATGACAACTCGCCATAAGCCCTCACCTGGCTGCATGAGTACGAGTACAGTGCCTTAATCAGTGCAATGTATTTTCTCGGCATTCCCTTTACAGCCAAGCATCGCCAGAGGACCTCTCGGTCGACAGAATCGAATGCCGCCTTTAGGTCAAGAAATATAGTGATTTTTGGAGGCCGATAGGAATGCCTATGTTCTAGAATCTGTCGAAGGGTGAAGATATGATCAATACACCCTCTTTCTGGCCTAAAACCTGCCTGATTTTCTCGTGTCGACTGAGATGGTTAGGACATGTGCTACGTATGCCTAGTCATCGCCTTCCTCGACGGGCAATGTTAGCTGATATAGGGCCAGGCTGGAAAAGAGCTAGTGGCGGTCAAACGAAAACATGGCACCAGTCAATGAAATCTACAACAGTTAGTCTAAGCCACGTAGGAGGAAGATGTAGACTTCCTGGTTGGGGTCCTCGGGAGAGTAGAAACCAATGGTTGGAAACAATTGGTGACATGGCTCAAAATCGTCCTCAATGGCTGGTGCAGATGCATCCACTCCTTGTGACTTATGATTTCCAATGAAACTGTTTTGTTCTTCGTTATTACTATTCCTTTGTCTCACACCTCTGTTTACTGTCTATACTATGCATTTCTCCTACTGTCTTCTCTTGCTTTGTGTGCTACATGGAGGGAATGTGGCGACTTGAACTGTCGCACATA